ATTTGATCAAAGTTAAATTGAAAAATTTGAATGCAGATTTTTAGAGAATCGGATCAGAAGTCTTTAGAGGTATGCCACTTTGGAATCGGCTTAAGTTTGGTAAAGTTATAGACTCTCGAAGTTCAATTTTGGGTCACTCTGTTACAAGTCATCGGAAAATTGGAAATAACTGACATTGAAAAATTTGAATGCAGATTTTTAGAGAATCGAATCAGAAGTCTTTAGAGGTATGCCACTTTGGAATCGGCTTAAGTTTGGTTAAGTTATGGACTCTCTAAGTCCTATTTTGGGTCAACGTTAAACAAGTCAAATTAGAAATAACTGACATGAAAATGGGTGAAAAATTTGATCAAAGTTAATTGAAAAATTTGAATGCAGATTTTTAGAGAAACGAATCAGAAGTCTTTAGAGGTATGCCACTTTGGAATCGGCTTAAGTTTGATAAAGTTATGGACTCTCTAAGTCCAATTTTGAGTCACTCTGTTAAAAGTCCTCGGAAAACTAGAAATAACTGACATGAAAATGGGTCAAAAATTTGATCAACGTTAAATTGAAAAATTTGAATGCAGATTTTTAGAGAATCGAATCAGAAGTCTTTAGAGGTATGCCACTTTGGAATCGGCTTAAGTTTGGTAAAGTTATAGACTCTCGAAGTCCAATTTTGGGTCACTCTTTTACAAGTCCTCGGAAAACTAGAAATAACTGACATGAAAATGGGTCAAAAATTTGATCAACGTTAAATTGAAAAATTTGAATGCAGATTTTAAGAGAATCGAATCAGAAGTCTTTAAGGTATGCCACTTTGGAATCGGCTTAAGTTTGATTAAGTTATGGACTCTCGAAGTTCAATTTTGGGTCAAAGTTAAACAAGTCAAATTAGAAATAACTGACATGAAAATGGGTGAAAAATTTGATCAAAGTTAAATTGAAAAATTTGAATGCAGATTTTTAGAGAATCGAATCAGAAGTCTTTAGAGGTATGCCACTTTGGAATCGGCTTAAGTTTGATAAAGTTATGGACTCTCTAAGTCCAATTTTGAGTCACTCTGTTACAAGTCCTCGGAAAACTAGAAATAACTGACATGAAAATGGGTCAAAAATTTGATCAACGTTAAATTGAAAAATTTGAATGCAGATTTTTAGAGAATCGAATCAGAAGTCTTTAGAGGTATGCCACTTTGCAATCGGCTTTAGCTTGGTAAAGTTATGGACTCTCGAAGTTCAATTTTGGGTCAAAGTTAAACAAGTCAAATTAGAAATAACTGACATGAAAATGGGTGAAAAATTTGATCAAAGTTAAATTGAAAAATTTGAATGCAGATTTTTAGAGAATCGAATCAGAAGTCTTTAGAGGTATGCCACTTTGGAATCGGCTTAAGTTTGGTAAAGTTATGGACTCTCTAAGTCCAATTTTTAGTCACTCTGTTACAACAAGTCAAATTAGAAATAACTGACATGAAAATGGGTGAAAAATTTGATCAAAGTTAAATTGAAAGATTTGAATGCAGATTTTTAGAGAATCGAATCAGAAGTCTTTAGAGGTATGCCACTTTGGAAACGGCTTAGGTTTGGTAAAGTTATGGACTCTCTAAGTCCAATTTTTAGTCACTCTGTTACAAGTCCTCGGAAATCTAGAAATAACTGACATGAAAATGGGTCAAAAAATTAATCGACGTTAAATTGAAAAATTTGAATGCAGAATTTTAGAGAATCGAATCAGAAGACTTTAGAGGTATGCCACTTTGCAATCGGCTTTAGCTTGGTAAAGTTATGGACTCTCGAAGTTCAATTTTGGGTCAAAGTTAAACAAGTCAAATTAGAAATAACTGACATGAAAATGGGTGAAAAATTTGATCAAAGTTAAATTGAAAAATTTGAATGCAGATTTTTAGAGAATCGAATCAGAAGTCTTTAGAGGTATGCCACTTTGGAAACGGCTTAAGTTTGGTAAAGTTATGGACTCTCTTAGTCCAATTTTTAGTCACTCTGTTACAAGTCCTCGGAAAACTAGAAATAACTGACATGAAAATGGGTCAAAAATTTGATCAACGTTAAATTGAAAAATTTGAATGCAGATTTTTAGAGAATCGAATTAGAAGTCTTTAGAGGTATGCCACTTTGCAATCGGCTTTAGCTTGGTAAAGTTATGGACTCTCGAAGTTCAATTTTGAGTCAAAGTTAAACAAGTCAAATTAGAAATAACTGACATGAAAATGGGTGAAAAATTTGATCAAAGTTAAATTGAAAAATTTGAATGCAGATTTTTAGAGAATCGAATCAGAAGTCTTTAGAGGTATGCCACTTTGGAATCGGCTTAAGTTTGGTAAAGTTATAGACTCTCGAAGTTCAATTTTGGGTCACTCTGTTACAAGTCATCGGAAAATTGGAAATAACTGACATTGAAAAATTTGAATGCAGATTTTTAGAGAATCGAATCAGAAGTCTTTAGAGGTATGACACTTTGGAATCGGCTTAAGTTTGGTTAAGTTATGGACTCTCTAAGTCCTATTTTGGGTCAACGTTAAACAAGTCAAATTAGAAATAACTGACATGAAAATGGGTGAAAAATTTGATCAAAGTTAATTGAAAAATTTGAATGCAGATTTTTAGAGAAACGAATCAGAAGTCTTTAGAGGTATGCCACTTTGGAATCGGCTTAAGTTTGATAAAGTTATGGACTCTCTAAGTCCAATTTTGAGTCACTCTGTTAAAAGTCCTCGGAAAACTAGAAATAACTGACATGAAAATGGGTCAAAAATTTGATCAACGTTAAATTGAAAAATTTGAATGCAGATTTTTAGAGAATCGAATCAGAAGTCTTTAGAGGTATGCCACTTTGGAATCGGCTTAAGTTTGGTAAAGTTATAGACTCTCGAAGTCCAATTTTGGGTCACTCTTTTACAAGTCATCGGAAAACTAAAAATAACTGACATGAAAATGGGTCAAAAATTTGATCAACGTTAAATTGAAAAATTTGAATGCAGATTTTTAGAGAATCGAATCAGAAGTCTTTAGAGGTATGCCACTTTGCAATCGGCTTAAGCTTGGTAAAGTTATGGGCTCTCGAAGTTCAATTTTGGGTCAAAGTTAAACAAGTCAAATTAGAAATAACTGACATGAAAATGGGTGAAAAATTTGATCAACGTTAAATTGAAAAATTTGAATGCAGATTTTAAGAGAATCGAATCAGAAGTCTTTAAGGTATGCCACTTTGGAATCGGCTTAAGTTTGATTAAGTTATGGACTCTCGAAGTTCAATTTTGGGTCAAAGTTAAACAAGTCAAATTAGAAATAACTGACATGGAAATGGGTGAAAAATTTGATCAAAGTTAAATTGAAAAATTTGAATGCAGATTTTTAGAGAATCGAATCAGAAGTCTTTAGAGGTATGCCACTTTAGAATCGGCTTAAGTTTGATAAAGTTATGGACTCTCTAAGTCCAATTTTGAGTCACTCTGTTACAAGTCCTCGGAAAACTAGAAATAACTGACATGAAAATGGGTCAAAAATTTGATCAACGTTAAATTGAAAAATTTGAATGCAGATTTTTAGAGAATCGAATCAGAAGTTTTTAGAGGTATGCCACTTTGGAATCGGCTTAAGTTTGGTTAAGTTATGGACTCTCGAAGTTCAATTTTGGGTCAAAGTTAAACAAGTCAAATTAGAAATAACTGACATGAAAATGGGTCAAAAATTTGATCAACGTTAAATTGAAAAATTTGAATGCAGATTTTAAGAGAATCGTATCAGAAGTCTTTAGAGGTATGCCACTTTGGATTCGGCTTAAGTTTGATTAAGTTATGGACTCTCGAAGTTCAATTTTGGGTCAAAGTTAAACAAGTCAAATTAGAAATAACTGACATGAAAATGGGTGAAAAATTTGATCAAAGTTAAATTGAAAAATTTGAATGCAGATTTTTAGAGAATCGAATCAGAAGTCTTTAGAGGTATGCCACTTTGGAATCGGCTTAAGTTTGGTTAAGTTATGGACTCTCGAAGTTCAATTTTGGGTCAAAGTTAAACAAGTCAAATTAGAAATAACTGACATGAAAATGGGTGAAAAATTTGATCAAAGTTAAATTGAAAAATTTGAATGCAGATTTTTAGAGAATCGAATCAGAAGTCTTTAGAGGTATGCCACTTTGGAAACGGCTTAAGTTTGGTAAAGTTATGGACTCTCTTAGTCCAATTTTTAGTCACTCTGTTACAAGTCCTCGGAAATCTAGAAATAACTGACATGAAAATGGGTCAAAAAATTAATTGACGTTAAATTGAAAAATTTGAATGCAGATTTTTAGAGAATCGAATCAGAAGTCTTTAGAGGTATGCCACTTTGGAATCGGCTTAAGTTTGCTAAAGTTATGGACTCTCTAAGTCCAATTTTGAGTCACTCTGTTACAAGTCCTCGGAAAACTAGAAATAACTGACATGAAAATGGGTCAAAAATTTGATCAACGTTAAATTGAAAAATTTGAATGCAGATTTTTAGAGAATCGAATCAGAAGTCTTTAGAGGTATGCCACTTTGGAATCGGCTTAAGTTTGATAAAGTTATGGACTCTCTAAGTCCAATTTTGAGTCACTCTGTTACAAGTCATCGGAAAACTAGAAATAACTGACATGAAAATGGGTTAAAAATTTGATCAACGTTAAATTGAAAAATTTGTGGTCAGAAATAAAAACGAGTTGAGTTGCGTATGTATTAATGTATTAATTTTATTATTGCCAGTTGCGAAGCCTATTTGACACTGAATTGAATTTCGCAATATGACGCCGTCTTAGCGGCGTTGCCAGAAACCCAAAAGACATTGCATACATGTTTTTTTTTACATAGATTAAATATATAAAATAGAATAGAGATGGCATTATGCGCCTATATATTAGAGATGATTAAAGCTGCAAGCGTTCACGAACATCCCGGCCCGCCCTGAAACACAGTTTCTGAATGGGGCAATACAGCAACTTTCGAGATGGGTCTGATCATCTCTCCTGTCGGGGTCTTCAATTTGACTGCTCGAACGAGATTGTCCTTCCCTGGATAGGTTTCCATAACCCGAGCGATGTGCCAAGATGCCGGTGGTGAATTGGACTTTTTACGAGCACAACATCACCGGTCGAGATGTTGGGTGTTGAAGTAGTCCATTTTGGACGTTGCTGCAGAGTAGTCAGATACTCCTGATGCCATTTTCTCCAGAATCCTTGAAGCATAGACTGGATGCTTTGCCAATATCCTAATCGGCCCACTGGGATGTGACTCAAAACGGGATCTAGCACTGTTGTTAATGGTCGCCCAATTAAGAAGTGAGCTGGGGATAGGTAGTTGGTTTCCGTATCCGGTGTGTAGCACAAGGGGCGTGAATTTATCACTGCGCTTATTTGAGCAAGAAGTGTGCGCATCTGTTCAAAGGTGAGCGTTGAGTTTCCGGTAATTCTGCGAAGATGCAGCTTGACACAACGAACTGCCGACTCCCATTTCCCTCCCCAGTGAGGGGCTCTCGGGGAATAAATACCCATTGGATACCATCATCCGCTAGTGTGCTAGACACGGTGTCCTTGTGTGTCTGTGAAGAAAGCAATTCTTGCATCTCGTCGAGGGATCGCTTAGCTCCAATAAAATTTGTGCCATTGTCACTGTAGATCTTACTGCACTTGCCACGTACCGATATAAAGCGCCGCAAGGCAGCCAAGAAGGTTTCTGTCGTCAAATCTGTGGCAAGTTCCAGGTGGATGGCCGAGGTGACCATGCAAACAAATAGGCATATGTAGCCCTTGCTGATACGTGGCTTCCGAACCTTTGCATCCTTCAGAAGTATTGGACCTGCATAGTCGCAACCAGTATATATAAATGGAAGCGCTTGTGTAATGCGTACGCTGGGTAAATCAGCCATTTGTTGCTGGGATGTGTGGTAGCGTTGACGAAAGCAAGCTAAACAGTCGTGGGTTATTTTGCGAATTAGATTACGTGCTCCAAATATCCAGAATTTTTGCCGAACAATAACAAAAAGTGAGGAAACGCCAGGGTGGAGGTTCACTCGGTGCTCGTGTTCCAGAATCAGCTTTGAGATGCGGTGTGTTTTTTGGTAGCAATACTCGGTGTTTTGCATCGTTTGACAACTGCGATTGGTGCAGTCGTCCGCCTACCTTCAGCAAATCGTTTTCGTCGATTATGGGTGCCAGTTTGATCAGCTGTGATCGGTTCCTTAAAGGTTTTTTACCGAGGAGCAATTGGTAATCGTCTTTGAAACAACCTTGTGCTTGTTTTATGCACAGAATCCTTGCCTCCCTAATCTCGTCAAATGTGAGAGCGCTAGATACCCTTTTGGGAGTTAGGTTTCGTGTACGTTGAATAAACCGCTTCACGTAGCCAACAATATGGACGAGCTTGATCCAAGAAGACACTCGCTCGGTTAGTTCATCAAATGGATGAACCGGGGTTGCTTCAGCCAGTGTGGCCAAACAGTTGGATTTGACTTCTCCTTGAATGCGTTTGTCTGTAAGAGATAAACCGAAACGTGAGTCGTTTAACTTTACCAGATACTGCACCTTGTCCCGTAGCCATAAAGGCCCATTCCACCACAAATGGAAGTCGATGAGATCAGCAGCCATCAGTCCCCTGGACGCACAGTCCGCTGGGTTTGTTTTGGAATCTACGTGATGCCAAGCACTCCTTGGAATAGTGTCAAGGATTTCCGAGGTTCTGTTTCCAACAAATGTCTTGAGTTGGGCTGGCGTATACGATAACCAGGTGAGCACTATTGATGAGTCGGACCAGCCAAAAACAGTTATGTTTTTGTGGCGCAATGCAGATGTGATCGAGCGAATCAGTTGGCTAAGGAGAAGTGCTGCGCAAAGTTCTAGACGTGGCAAGGATTGTTGTTTCAGTGGAGCCACCCTTGTTTTCGCAGCCACAATGGATACCGAGATGGAGCCATCGTCACTCGTGACTCTGCTGTACACCACAGCAGCATATGCCTTGGTTGACGCATCCGAAAATCCGTGGAGTTCGATGTTGTCCGGGTCGTTGGCGACAAATCGTGGTAGTTGAAATGTTTGAAGATTGTCCAGATCTGCTCTCCACTTTAGCCAGTTGTCCGCCAGTTTAGTTGGGAGTGGGTCATCCCAATCCAAATTCAAGAGCCATAGCTTTTGGAACAGGATTTTGAATTGGATTACAATGGGTGCCAAGAGTCCGAGAGGATCAAATATCCTCGAGACGTCGGACAAAACTTGTCTCTTTGTGCAATCAGGATTTTTAGCAAGACCGGCCTTGTACGTTAGAATGTCTTTTCCAGGATGCCAGTACAGTCCGAGAACCTTTACTGGTGACGTTTGCGCAGGTTGTGTGTCGCTATCATCCGTTTGTATACATGGTGTATTTGATACCCATTTCCCGAGTTCAAGATTTGCACGAGACATCAGCTGAATCAGCTCGTTTCGGTTCCGAAGTAGCTCATCCTCACTGTTTGACCCAGTAAGAACGTCATCTACATAGAAATCCTACAGCAGGATTTTCGACGCATTTGGGTATTCCTCTTGATGATCTACAGCAAGTTGTTCCAGCACTCGCACGGCCAGGAATGGTGCGCATGAAGTTCCGTAGGTTATAGTGCACAATTGGAAGTGCTTGATGGAATCGGATGGATCTTCTCTCCAAACGATTTTCTGGAAGTTTCTGTGCTTTTCGTTGACCCATATCTGGCGGAACATTTTTACGATATCCGCTGAGAATGCAAATTTGTACATTCGAAAACGAAGACACACAGCGAATAGATCGCGCTGGATACTGGGACCTGTAAACAGGGTGTCATTTAAAGCCTTACCATTGGCGTCACGAAAAGATCCATCGAAAACTACTCGTAGCTTCCGACCCAGAACTGGGTGGTGTGGTAGATAAAACTGATTTCCAGTAGCGTTTTCTTCTGGTGGCACCTCTCGCATGTGCCCCAGATTTGTGTATTCCCGCATAAAGTATACGTACTGTGTACGCAGCTGCTCGTTCTGTTGCAGCCGCCGCTCAACCGATTTAAAGCGTTTGAGCGCTCCTTGTAGAGTTTCTCCGAAATCGGGGCTTTCAGTGTTGAATGGAAGATCCACGATATACTTCCCGTTTTCATCGCGACTGTGAGTGGCGAGAAAGTGCTTCTCGACCTGATCATCCTCCGGATCCAATTTTACGCTGCTTTGAACGTTTTCCAATTGCCAAAACTTCTGAAGCGTGGCGTCTATGTCTACTGTTGTAGTCAGTGCAATAGCGTTGCTTGGATTTGATGTGATGAGTGAGGTTATTACCCATCCGAACACCGAAGAAATGGCGATAAGATTACCCTTGTTGCCGTACATCTTTCGTCCTGTAAACACCGACCATACGTGTTCGCTTCCCAATAGAATGTCAACAGGTGAGTTTGTGTTGAATTCTGTATCCGCCAACTGCAGATCCTTGAATGCCTCGAGTGCCGATGCATCGATGTTTTGGCGTTCCAGCGAAGAAGTAATTCTGCCTAGGACGTGGGCGTAGACAACCAAATGATCCTCGGAGATACGGGACTTGATATGCAAGGTGCTGCATCCCCTTGTCGTGTCTGCTTTCACCGAAGAGATTCCCGTGACCAAGATGCGTGATGCCGAACGTGTCAATCCGAGAGCTTGAATGCAACGCTCGGATACGTAGGAAAGCTCCGAGCCTGTGTCCAATAAGAGACGGCATGTTACGAGGTCACCTTTTGCGTTTTGAACATAAACCATGGCAGTTGGTAAAATGCTTCGCTTAATTTCCGTTTCCTGTGTAGATTTTGCAGTGCCCTGTGCACATACAACTGATTGAGTGCCCTCTCCTTGGGCGAAATGACTGAGAGTCACCGAAGTGTTGTTGGACGCACCTATGTTTCGCTCGTCCTCGCCTTCTATCTGGGCAAGATTCCCAATAGCCTGTGGATTCGCTTGGACATGTAGAAGGGAGTGATGGTTTCCCTTGCATTGCCTACATTTGTATGTCGACTTGCACTTGCTGACTCCATGACCAGGTCGCAAGCAGTTGTAGCACAGTGATTTCTCCTTTACGAAGGATCGTCTCTGCATTCCAGACATATCCAAGAACAGCTGACAGTTATACAGAGTGTGTTCTTTTGAATTACATTTGATGCAGCCATTGCCTTCGATCGCAACCATCGATTGTGTGACCCTTTTTGGTTTTTCTGCATGTGTTGTTGTCTTGCTACCAGTCGCAAGCTCCCTTTTACTCAGTTCCAGTTCCTCGCAACGAGAATCCAGAAATTTGAAGAATTCCTCGAGAGTGGGGGAATCTGTGTCCATGCTGCGCTCAATCCACCTACGCCGCGTGTCGGCGTCAAGTTTCTCCAGGTTCAGATAGATGATCCAGCAATCGCGTCCCATCTGGTTGACTGCATCCAATCCGCGAATAATTTCGTTTGCTCCGTCTGACACCTTCCGTAGAATTGATGCATCTACCTTTGTAGTTGTTGGCAGGTTCATAAACTGCTCCAAAAATGAGTTTACAATGTGCCGTGGCGATTGTACCTTTCCTTCAGACGTTCCCAAGCGGTGTTGTAAGCTGTATCCGTAATGGCCAAATGCCGTACCAAGTTGGCAGCCTCATCAACAATAAGTGTTTTCAAGTGATGGAACTTCTGTGTGTTGGACAAATGTTGCTTGTTATGAATTGTGCTTTCATAAATGTCTTGAAAAGAGGGCCACTCTGTGTAGTTGCCAGAGAATCGTTTTATTTGAATTTTCGGCAATTCACTGAGATTGGAATTCGCCGCATGTACCGAACTTGAATTCGCCAAAGAGACGTCACCACCAACATGAACCGGCGTGCTCGAATGACCCTGATTTGCAGCCAGTCGCTCAAATAGTTGTTGGTTTTGTTGTAGCAAATTTACAATTGCGTCGCCGTTGAAGTGCAGACCGTTGCTGCCATTCACAATGCCTGTAGATGTACTCGGTTGTAGAGCATCACTTCTGTCCTTGAGAATTGCGTTCGCCCTTAGGTACTTTTCTTCGTAAATTGCGTTATCCATCTCCGGATCGACATAACCTCCTACCTCCTCGTGGAGAGCAATGCAATCGCCGAACTGGTTGAACTCCTTCCAAGCTTCGTGGAGAAGTTGTACGCGCGTGGAGATCTCCGCCTGTGTTGCAGATTCCGCTTGCTCAGCCCATGAGAGACAACGTGTGATGTTACCCTTGAGTCTGGAACGGCTTTTCACCAATGCTTTTAACTGTTCCATAGCAAACAATTAACCTGAGAATCAAAGCACTTCACTAACTGTCCAAGAATCCGGAACGAAGGACCAACAATATGGTCAGAAATAAAAACGAGTTGAGTTGCGTATATGTGGACTGTATTAATTTTATTATTGCCAGTTGCGAAGCCTATTTGACACTGAATTGAATTTCGCAATATGACGCCGTCTTAGCGGCGTTGCCAGAAACCCAAAAGACATTGCATACATGTTTTTTTTTTTTACATAGATTAAATATATAAAATAGAATAGAGATGGCATTATGCGCCTATATATTAGAGATGATTAAAGCTGCAAGCGTTCACGAACAATTTGAAAGCAGATTTTTAGAGAATCGAATCAGAAGTCTTTAGAGGTATGCCACTATGGAATCGGCTTAAGCTTGGTAAAGTTATGGACTCTCGAAGTTCAATTTTGGGCAACGTTAAACCAGCCAAATTAGAAATAACTGACATGAAAATGGGTCAAAAATTTGATCAACGTTAAATTGAAAAATTTGAATGCAGATTTTTAGAGAATCGAATCAGAAGTCTTTAGAGGTATGCCACTTTGGAATCGGCTTAAGTTTGGTAAAGTTATGGACTCTCGAAGTCCAATTTTGAGTCACTCTTTTACAAGTCATCGGAAAACTAGAAATAACTGACATAAAAATGGGTCAAAAATTTGGACAAATTAAATTGAAAAATTTGAATGCAGATTTTTAGAGAATCGAATCAGAAGTCTTTAGAGGTATGCCACTTTGGAATCGGCTTAAGTTTGGTAAAGTTATGGACTCTCTAAGTCCAATTTTGAGTCACTCTGTTACAAGTCATCGGAAAACTAGAAATAACTGACATGAAAATGTGTCAAAAATTTGATCAACGTTAAATTGAAAAATTTGAATGCAGATTTTTAGAGAATCGAATCAGAAGTCTTTAGAGGTATGCCACTTTGGAATCGGCTTAAGTGTGGTAAAGTTATGGACTCTCGAAGTCTAATTTTGGGTCACTCTTTTACAAGTCATCGGAAAACTAGAAATAACTGACATGAAAATGGGTCAAAAATTTGATCAACGTTAAATTGAAAAATTTGAATGCAGATTTTTAGAGAATCGAATCAGAAGTCTTTAGAGGTATGCCACTATTGAATCGGCTTAAGCTTGGTAAAGTTATGGACTCTCGAAGTTCAATTTTGGGTCAACGTTAAACAAGTCAAATTAGAAATAACTGACATGAAAATGGGTCAAAAATTTGATCAACGTTAAATTGAAAAATTTGAATGTAGATATTTAGAGAATCGAATCAGAAGTCTTTAGAGGTATGCCACTTTGGAATCGGCTAAAGTGTGGTAAAGTTATGGACTCTCGAAGTCTAATTTTGGGTCACTCTTTTACAAGTCATCGGAAAACTAGAAATAACTGACATGAAAATGGGTCAAAAATTTGATCAACGTTAAATTGAAAAATTTAATGCAGATTTTTAGAGAATCGAATCAGAAGTTTTTAGAGGTATGCCACTTTGGAATCGGCTTAAGTTTGGTAAAGTTATGGACTCTCGAAGTTCAATTTTGGGTCAAAGTTAAACAAGTCAAATTAGAAATAACTGACATGAAAATGGGTCAAAAATTTGATCAAAGTTAAATTGAACAAGAAAGGAAAGCTAACTTCGGGCGGAGCCGAAGTTGAAATACCCTTGCAGAATATTCTGCAAATTATATTCTCCAAAATCATTCATAATGCATTCTTAATACTCATAAAAATCCCAATTTCCTAACTTTAAAAACACTAAAGTTATGGCATTTCCAATCGTTCAGTTATATGCCAGTTATAGAATATAGTCGGCCGATCCTTATGAAATTTGATATGTCGGATTGATTAGGCAAAAATAAAACCCATAGAAAATCCCAACTTCCTAACTTAACAAACACCAAAGTTATGGCATTTCCGATCAATCAGTTATATGGCAGCTATAAGATATAGTCGGCCGATCCTTATGAAATTTGGTACGTCTGATTGATTGGCCAAATATAAAACCCATAGAAAATCCCAACTTCCTAACTTTACAAACACCAAAGTTATGGCATTTCCGATCAATCAGTTATATGGCAGCTATAAGATATAGTCGGCCGATCCTTATGAAATTTGGTACGTCGGATTGATTGGCCAAATATAAAACCCATAGAAAATCCCAACTTCCTAACTTTACAAACACCAAAGTTATGGCATTTCCGATCAATCAGTTATATGGCAGCTATAAGATATAGTCGGCCGATCCTTATGAAATTTGGTACGTCGGATTGATTGGCCAAATATAAAACCCATAGAAAATCCCAACTTCCTAACTTTACAAACACCAAAGTTATGGCATTTCCGATCAATCAGTTATATGGCAGCTATAAGATATAGTCGGCCGATCCTTATGAAATTTGGTACGTCGGATTGATTGGCCAAATATAAAACCCATAGAAAGTCCCAACTTCCTAATCTAACAAACAGCAGAGTTATGGCATTTCCGATCAATCAGTTATATGGCAGCTATAGGATATAGTCGGCCGATCCCGGCCGTTCCGACTTATATACTGCGTGCAAAGGAAAGAAGGGTGTGTGCAAAGTTTCAATTCGATATCTTTAAAACTGAGAGACTAGTTCGCGTAGAAACAGACAGACGGACAGACAGACGGACAGACGGACAGACGGACATGGCTATATCAACTCAGGAGGTGATCCTGATCAAGAATATATATACTTTATAGGGTCGGAGATGTCTCCTTCACTGCGTTGCACACTTTTGACCAAAATTATAATACCCTCTGCAAGGGTATAACAATGATAGATTCTTAATGAGTACGAATGTCGCTATGGCATGAACCACCAAAAAAAAAAAATCTTTTTTTTTCAAGAAATGGCGTCTACTCAAAGAATAAAGTCGATTTTTTCACTAATTTTTCGACTTTGTCGAATTTTTAAAAATATTATTAATTCAAAATTTTTATTTTTTGTTGGTTCATGCGATAGCGATATATTTAAAGAATATTCACGCCAAATTTCAAGTAAATCGACTGATTAGAACTTGAGTTAGAGTGGCGACCGCATCAAAAAAAGTAGTTTCGAGAAAAACGCGTTTAAAGTTCCAGTCGTTCGCTCAACTGGTCTAGGTGCCACGTCACTAAAACGGCAATAACTTTGAAAATAATTTGAGTTTTGAAAATTCCTTTTAGAGAGATATTTTTGAATATCCAAACTATCGAATTATGAAAAAAAAAATTTTCGATTTTCTCAAATTTCTAGACTAGAAGACCCCCTTAAGTTTGGTAAAGTTATGGACTCTCTAAGTCCAATTTTAAGTCACTCTGTTACAAGTCCTCGGAAAGTCCTCAAAGTTAAATTGAAAAAATTTGAATGCAGATTTTTAGAGAATCGAATCAGAAGTCTTTAGAGGTATGCCACTTTGCAATCGGCTTAAGTTTGGTTAAGTTATGGACTCTCTAAGTCCTATTTTGGGACAACGTTAAACAAGTCAAATTAGAAATAACTGACATGAAAATGGGTGAAAAATTTGATCAAAGTTAAATTGAAAAATTTGAATGAAGATTTTTAGAGAATCGAATCAGAAGTCTTAAGAGGTATGCCACTTTGGAATCGGCTTAAGTTTGGTTAAGTTATGGACTCTTGAAGTTCAATTTTGGGTCAAAGTTAAACAAGTCAAATTAGAAATAACTGACATAAAATTGGTGAAAAATTTGATCAAAGTTAAATTGAAAAATTTGAATGCAGATTTTTAGAGAATCGAATCAGAGGTCTTTAGAGGTATGCCACTTTGGAATCGGCTTAAGTTTGGTAAAGTTATGGACTCTCTAAGTCCAATTTTGAGTCACTCTGTTACAAGCCCTCGGAAAACTAGAAATAACTGACATGAAAATGGGTCAAAAATTTGATCAACGTTAAATTGAAAAATTTGAATGCAGATTTTTAGAGAATCGAATCAGAAGTCTTTAGAGGTATGCGGCTTTGGAATCGGCTTAAGTTTGGTAAAGTTATGGACTCTCGAAGTTCAATTTTGGGTCAAAGTTAAACAAGTCAAATTAGAAATAACTGACATAAAAATGGGTGAAAAATTTGCTCAACGTTAAATTGAAAAATTTGAATGCAGATTTTTAGGTAATCGAATCAGAAGTCTTTAGAGGTATGCCACTTTGCAATCGGCTTAAGTTTGGTTAAGTTATGGACTCTCTAAGTCCTATTTTGGGACAACGTTAAACAAGTCAAATTAGAAATAACTGACATGAAAATGGGTGAAAAATTTGATCAAAGTTAAATTGAAAAATTTGAATGCAGATTTTTAGAGAATCGAATCAGAAGTCTTTAGAGGTATGCTACTTTGGAATCGGCTTAAGTTTGGTAAAGTTATGGACTCTCTAAGTCCAATTTTCAGTCACTCTGTTACAAGTCCTCGGAAAACTAGAAATAACTGACATGAAAATGGGTCAAAAATTTGATCAACGTTAAATTGAACAAGAAAGGAAAGCTAACTTCGGGCGGAGCCGAAGTTGATATACCCTTGCAGAATACTCTGTAAATTATATTCTCCAAAATTATTCATATGATGCATTCTTAATACTCATAAAAAATCCCAACTTCCTAACTTTAAAAACACCAAAGTTATAGCATTTCCAATCATTCAGTTATGTATATGGCAGCTTTAGAATATAGTCGGCCGATCCTTATGAAATTTAATATGTCGGATTGATTGGGCAAAAATAAAACCCATAGAAAATCCCAACTTCCTAACTTAACAAACACCAAAGTTATGGCATTTCCGATCAATCAGTTATATGGCAGCTATAAGATATAGTCGGCCGATCCTTATGAAATTTGGTAGGTCGGATTAATTGGCCAAATATAAAACCCATAGAAAATCCCAACTTCCCAACTTTACAAACACCAAAGTTATGGCATTTCCGATCAATCAGTTATATAGCAGCTATAGGATATAGTCGGCCGATCCTTATGAAATTTGGTATGTCGGATTGATTGGCCAAATATAATACCCATAGAGAGTCCCAACTTCCTAACTTAACAAACAGCAGAGTTATGGCATTTCCGATCAATCAGTTATATGGCA